CCATTTCTTTTAACCAACCATCAGTCATCTGAGTCAGTGCAGTACAGGTTGAGTGTCCTTCCCTATATACAAGTCAGTAGTTAACTTGTTCTTTGAAAAACATTATTGTATTTGAGCCAGCAAAGGGTGCTTTACTATTTTTGGGTAGTGGAATTACTTTAACTTCCTTCCACGCCTGTGGACACACTCCTTTAGGTTTTGGTTAAAGACATGGCAAATAGGGGTGGCAACACAGTCTGCTACCATTCTCAATAGTTTCCCATCTAGGCTGTCTATACCTGGTTGCTTATCATTATTGATGGATAACAATCGTTTTTCCACCTTTTCCACACAAACTTAACCAAATTCAAAACGGCAATCTTTCTCTTTCATTATTAGATCTTTAATACACAAATATGATGGTTCACCGTGTATTGTTGTCATTACACTTCTCAGTTTGTCCGGTTTGTGAAATAGTCATTGGCTATATCAGTGTTTCCCAAGCCTGGTCCTTGAGGACCCCCAACAGTACACAGTTTCGTTGTAGTTCTTGACAAACACCTTCTTCAACTCATTGAGGACTTGATGATTACTTGACTAGTTGAATCAGGTATGCTTGTCCAGGGTTACAATAAAAATGTGTACTGTTGGGGGTACTCGAGGACCAGGTTTGGGAAACACTGGGCTATATCATAAACGACCCATCAACTTCAATGAAAAATGGAGATGAATTGGGTTTTCTGCCCATAATATCATTTAAGGTGCTCCAGTCATTTCTTGTTTGTTTTTTGGTTAAGTTTAGTCACAAAAGTTCTCAATTGACAGTATGTCAACCAATCAGCTGAGCAGCCTGACTTGTTTGCCACCTTTTTAGCATAATTTCTGAACCATACATTTTTCAATTCCTCATCGATCCAGGCGGCTCTAACAGTTAGTTTTTTAACAGGTGCATGTTTGTCAACAATTGGCAAGAATAGTTTTACAAATACTCCAAGTGCTGCATCTGGTTTCTCCTCCTTATACACATCAGACCAACATAAATGTTTTACATCTTCAATAAAAGAGTCCTGAGAAAACATGTTGTATGATATCTTTGAAATACCTTTAGACCCTGCCTTTGGCATTCCTTGTTATTGCCACAATGTTATGGTCACTACAGCCAATGGGAACTGATATTGCTTTGGAGCAAAGCTCTGCAGCATTAGTGAAGATATGATCAGTACAAGTGGATGTCACAGATCCAACACTATTGGTACACACTAGTTGGTTGAGTGATAACCTGGGTCATTTTACAGACAGTCACACACAGTAAGAAGCTTCCTCTTGAGAGGACAACTAGATGATAACCAGTCAATGTTCAGGTCACCAAGAAACTACATTTCTCTGATAGTATCAAAGACCTTATCTAACATCACACATGTTCTCCAGATACTGACAGTTTGCGCTTGGTGGCCTATAGCAGCACCCTAAAAGAAGAGGCTTCAGATGAGGCAGGTGAACCTGCAACCACACCACTTCTACTTCATTTGTCATGAGATCCTTTCTGAGCTTTATAGGAATATGGCTCTGAATACATACAGCAACACCTTCCCCGTAGACATCCTTGTATTCCTACGGCTGTATCATGTTTAAGGGTCTCAAATTTGTTCTCTTGTTTAACAGATGAGAAGAGGAATGAGTGATCTAATTATTCCTCAGAAAGAATGTCCAACTGATAGCCCCATTCCCCCTACAAGTCCCCGAACATTAAAATAGCACTCCATTTCACCACAGGCTTTCACATAATTTAAATCAATAATTAAAAAGTATATTAAAAGAAAAATACCACACACATACCAGAAAGTCAGATTTGATTTTTCAGACCTATTTTTCACTTTATTAAATGAGACCATTTCATACAGACAAACAGTTTGGTTCTCTCCCTCCTTCGCTCTCCTCCCTCATCCCAAAAACACACCAGTTCTCCTGGCCAGGATGATGCAATTGAAACAGGATTGGAATGAAAAACGACTGATCAATGTCACAGAACTGTAAAAAGTGATCTCACTTGGTTTGCTATACATACATGTTGATACACACAACATGGTACTTATAGGATAAACGCTAGTAGCCTGATACTGCTGAGACTTAGTTATGAAACCTGCAGCTAGGCAGGTACATCAACACATACGCTCACGGTAGCACACATAGAAGGGGACCCTAATTAACCCTAATTGCTCCTGTAAGTCGCTCTGGATAAGAGCGTCTGCTAAATGACTAAAATGTAAATGTAAGGGGAGGGGGTTGATAACGAGCTCGTACTGCAGTCACCGCACTTTGTCCATGGCTGCCATTTTGAAAGCAGCAGAAGTCGGTATTGTCCGTGATGGGCTTAGGCATTGTCAAGGGCGGGAGGCTGGCTGCATCAACCGACCTTGTGTCGCCATCATGGCCCTCAGGTTTAGCCTTCACATTACACTGGGTAAAAAAGGTATTATGGCTCCTCTGCATCCCAACATGGCACTTTCACACACTTGAAATCTTTTTAGGTACCCATTGTAATGAATAGGAATGGGGGACAGTGCATTGGCCGAATGGTTGTCTGGTAAATTCAAAACAGCCCACACTCAAATTTCTCTGTCAAAGGCCAGTACATATGTGAAACTGGAAATTAAATATTGATCTGTCCAACCAAACACTTTTCCCCCCCATTCAAAAAGTAACTTGCTTTAAAATACCAATGTGTGGGTGCCAAGTACAGTACATTTGACATAATGCCCACAAAACAGTTAGGTGCCTCAACCTCTCCCTACACGAGAGAACACCAAGTGAGTAATAAATAAAGCAGCGAGATACAGTACAATCGTATGGTGATAGGGGTGCACAACCAGAAAGAGACGGAGGGAGAGATGTCAACAAAAGGGAGAAAAAAAGCGGTTATTTTTTGTTGTTGTATTTACATCTTGAATCAGGACATCGAAACAAATTGTATTTACAGACTTTTGAATGGAAATGAAACCAGTCAGTCAAGGACAGCTTCAAAAGGTAAATGAAAATAAACAACATTGTAATAAACATAAAAAGTGGATGATATTTACAGATGTGCAATAAGACAAGAGAGGGGCATGGATTAGGGCGGGAAGCAAATGGAATCCAAAACGATATGCTAAATTTCAAGCAAATCAGTTGGGATTCCGGGCTAGGAAGCAGATGGCTTCAAAGAGATACAGGGAGGGAAAATGAGTTATTTAAATCAATGTCAGCACATATGAGGGTTGTTCATACAAGGGGGTGGCAGAGGTTGTACAATAGCATAACACGCTTGCACTAGAAAGCGTTCAAGTGGTCATTACTGAGAACTGATCTAAACCTACAACACTGGCTTTTTAAACGGTGCAGTTTGGATTGGAGGGTACAATTATTCACATGAACACATCACACAAAAACTCAGCTATTCCCCCACCCTTCAATTTCTCACTTATTCTCATTAACTCCCACAAGCACACAGCAAAGTACAAGCCTATAGGACTACTATGATCTCGCTATCCGCCCTTCTACACCAGTAAGAGTACACGTCTTCACACACGCCCACTGACTCCCATTTCAGAGAATCTATAGAAAGTAACTGGGATCATGGTCTGCTTCAAAGTCCAAACTGGAGTCAGCTACTCCATAGGATATATTTATGTCCATTAGGCTGAACCCATATTTGATAATCCCTTCTTCCTCTACAATCTAGATGGATGCCACACTAACAAAGATTCTTACAAGTGTGCTGCGAAAGTCCACTTTATTCACTACAAATATGAATGAATATTTTAAACACAGCATGGTGTGTATATACTTTCAGAAAGGTCCCTCTTACAAATCAGGAGTTCTGAAGAGTTCATGCTATGAATGGAAAACAAGCGCCAAATTAACAAGAACCAGACTTTTTTTTAAACAAACATGTAACCTCACCATAGAATATATTTATGGTATGCCATATATTGAAGCCAAAAGGAAGGTGACATTTGACTACCACAGCAGTCTTAATCATCCATAGGACCTTGATTCCTGTATTTGATTGCCTTCATGCGCAATAAAGGGGGGCTCAGTTTGGGACTGTCAGTGGGAGAGATGCTGCTACATAGATGTGAATCATGGATCTCTCAGTCTCCACACACAAACACCACCACCCTCACCATCTGTCAAAACTTTTCCTTTAGGTCCTCAACACACACATATTGGGAAATTGCTAGCAAGTATGGCTACCAATTATAACTTGCACTCCCCTTTCAATGTAAAAATTCACAGTGCCTTTTCCGAAGCAAATTAAAAAATACATTTACAAGTAAAAGAAAAAAGCAGCTGTCATTTCATCTCTTTTTAAATATAATTTAATAAAAAGTATAAAAAAAACACAGCCTCTTCATCCCTCCATCTTGCAACCAGCACCATTTTATCCCATTTGTCTACAATGTGACCAAATGATTCTAACTGGGAAACACCTCAATTGGCTTCTAGAGACAAACTCCTGTTTACTTTGTGTGTGGTGGTGGCAGAACTCTTCATTAAGTTTTCAGTCAAATAAATAAAACAGAATAAAAAGAAAACAAAATACCTTGATTAAAAAAAAAGTATTATTATACAGAGGACCTGCCCCACCTACTGGAGCTTTAAATGCCACCCCCAACAGCAGGAGAGAAAGACAGGGGGAGAGCTGGGCCAAAGGCGATGCAGCGAGGGAGTGGGATAACACTTAAGGTGTCAGTACATGAGAAAGTATGTATGTGTTTCCAACTCTCAGCTAGTAGTGCTGATCAAATTTCTATTTAATGTAACAAAACTACCTTGTCAGCTAATGATATCCTCTTACGCTATGAATGGTTTGTTCAATGTATGTACAGTACAAAAAGATGTGTTTGTAACCAAAGGCGAAAATAACAAGCAGCGAGGAAGAAAGAAGCAATACAGTGTGTGTGTTTGTGTTCAGGCTGGCAGACAGTGTGTGTGTGTGTGTGGTCGGGCTGGCAGACAAACAGAGGGTTTGCAGGGACGTTTCAGGTGCTGTTGTTTAGCGATCCGGGTATTGAGCTGTGCTGAGAGGAGCCGTCTAACCCAGAGCCATCTACTGAGGGATAGAGGAAAGAGATGAATAGAGAGAGGGAAGTGGTAGAGAAATAGTGTTAGGTATATTGAGTGGATATAATACACTGATTTTGCTTGTCAAGAATACACTGTAAACATAAGCAATTACGCAGCTAATTGTAGTAAGAGGATGTAGTAAGACCTCCACTAAAACTGATCAGAAAACTTTTTCCAGGTTTCCAGTTAGAGGACCTCCTTTAGACTACAAACGTTTACAATGCAAAAAGGTGTGGTTCTTAATGCAGAAAGGGACCAACAGGTGTGGTTCTCAGGCTGGTGCCCCTTTGGCTGGCTGCTGTCTTATACAGGAAGGTTACAATGACCAGAAACATGACATTATTCTTTCCATTTGTGAAAGCAGCCTTCATCGTACTATCCATTTGGATTTTGCCTAGAGCTCCACCTAACCTAGAATGTCTGCAAGCCAATCACTGCTTCATGACACTCGGTGCAGATATGGGAATTCATGATTGACAGCTACTCTATCCACTGAAGTGACATGTGTAGCCAATTACTATGTTTTGAGACAGGGGGGGGGGGGGGGGGGGGGGGGGGTTGTACCAGATGAAGCAGTCTGTGTGCGGGCATGAGGAGGAATGAGGGTGGAGTTCAGTTGGGGCTGGATTGACAGCTCTGGAAGGATAAGAGAGAAAAATAAAGAGATAGGAAATAGCATTAGTTTTATAAGACTGTGTGGTAAGACCAAGGTCATAGTGTTACAAAATTGGGTCAAAGTCTTACAATTTCAAACATTCCAACACATAGCTATACTACAATACACATTGAAAACAAACAAATATATTCTAAACTTCATATTGTAGATATCCTAAAAGTAGGTGCAGAATATATGCATAGGTCACAAAACAAAGTTGGGGTCAGGTCCATTTCAATTATTGAATTGGAGTTTCAATTGATTCCCTGAATTTAAATTGATTAAACTACTTTCGGGTCACAGAAAGGTCAGGGATCAACAGAGCGGGGTCAACAAGGTGTACTGACCGGTGGTGCTGAAGTTGAAGAGCAGGGGCAGCTCTCGGCCGCTAGGCAGCCGGGCGTTGGGCTGGCGCAGCTCGTCGAAGAAGGCGTGAGCGCAGGCCTCCAGGGGCGAAAAGCGCGTGACCGGGGTGTACTCCAGCAGGCGCGAGCACAGGGCGATGGCCTCTGGAGGGGTGCGAGGCTTAAACACCTGCGAGAGGAGGTACAAGTACACACACACAACATGAAACAATTCCATAAAAAATAAAATACATTACTTGAAAGCCAAAAATATAATAAAGCTTACATTAAAAATATATAATAACCATTTACCTTTGTCCAGGGATGCGCTTTGATCTGGGGGAATTTAAACTCTGTGTAGTTGGGGTTCATTTCTCGGATCTGTTCCCGTGTCGGGGTTCCCAAAACCTGAGTAGCAGACATACAAGTATACAGTTAGTAGTGTACAACGGATATCATTTTGTTTCTCTCCACATCACTGATTATTATATCACTTTCCCCCACCACACACACACACACAATGTCCTCATAAGCCAAATGTCCTCCTAATGCTGGTATGTAATCAGAATGTCAGGTATTTTGTCCCTGTAGTGTTACCCATATACAAACACACCCTCTTCCTATTTACTTACCTTGATGATCTCCACTAGCTGGTCCACTCCGCTGTCCCCAGGGAAGATGGGCTGTCCCAGCAGCAGTTCGGCCAGCACGCAGCCCGCCGACCAGATGTCGATGTTGGCCGTGTAGTCGGTGGCGCCGAAGATGAGCTCTGGGGCGCGGTAGTACCGCGAACAGATGTACGACACGTTGGGCTCCCCACGAATCAGCTGCTTAGCACTGCAGGTAGGGGTAAACCGCAGAGGTTAAAGGGGATCCCAAATTCTTTTGGCCCTCGACCCCATTTTGATATCTGAAAACACTCGCGACCCCAACAATTAATTGGGGCTATGGCAGTCAATTGCAAAACATTCTAACAGTATTTCTGACTGTATTCTCAACTCACCATCATATACTTTTATGTAGGGCTATGACAGTCAATTGCAAAACAGTATGACAATTTCTCTTATCTCACCAGCACTAATGAGATGGGTGTGCTTGATGCATATCGCGTCGGAGCTTCTCAAAGTCAGGGGGAGTGGTCGACAGTGCATACCTCATCTCGCCTGTCACATCCGACCTGGTTCGATATTTGTTTTTAATGCAGACGAGAGCACTGAATCAGCGTCACATGACAGCTCAGTCAGCTGTTCAATTTCACTTACTGGCATGTCAACTCAGCCAGGATCAGTCAAACGGATTTTGCTGATTCGGACACAGTTCGTTCTGTTTCCCAAATAGGTCTATTACATAGGCAAGGAGACACCTTTTCTTTTCATTACACAGAAAGTCAAGTCTGTTTTTACATCCATTGCGAATGACAACAGTTCCTCTCGCAATTCGAAAAAGAGTTCCAACACTCCCCCTCGATAACCACCAAGCCTTGGTGTGAAATAGAACATTGTCATGCTCTGATCCCATCTCGCCATGTAGTGTACAATCGAAGTTAGCTGCTGCATGTCTTCAGGATCTGCACTCAGCTCTTTTGCCGCCAGTTGCTCTCGGTGTATCCATTATAGCTCAGTGGGTGTATTATACAATGCGTCCATATGGCAGAGGGAGACGCATTCATAACGGCGCCGTTCCGTTATAGATGGAGCCCCATCTGTGCAAAAGCCCACCTTCGATCCCATGGAATTGGTTTTTCGTCAATATAGCCACGCAGCACACTGAACATCCTCTGTGCCGTTTCATGCTCAAACAATATGTCCTCGTGAATAGCATCCCCGCTACATACAGCGAACAAATGTCAATGCATCTCAGCCCTCACAGCTAACGTCCATTTGGAGAGCATAAGGTGGGGAGTTTGAGATGTTCAGTCAGAGTTGCCTCTAGATTGCTAGCTATAGCATCAATTCTTAGTTTCACAGCGTTATCTGACAAAGGTATTGATGGGAGTTTCTGTGCCTCCCCACACATTGTTATCCCCATATCAATTGCGGCCGGTAATATGAAAGTCTCTGCAATAGTGTGGTTTCATAGCGTAGCGGGCTTAGCCATTCACCATGGGAATGATTCAAGTGTAACAACCAAGTGCTGCCTTTTCCCACGATCTAAGGGCGCTCTGGTAGAATATTTACTTTTAGATTTGAATAACTTTCATTTTTAAGGTTAACCACATTACAATAATTCAGAGACAAAGATGAGAGATATATTTTTTACCAGGATTTGGGAAATTCTCCCGCGACCCCATTTTCATATCAGGCAACCCCATTTGGGGTCGCGACCCCTAGTTTGGGAACCGCTAGGTTAGACTAATACAGTATTCTAAGCTAAATCTAGGTTAATACAGTATTCTAAACTGAGTCTAGGTTATGCTAATACAGTGTTCTTACAATACTTCCATCTCTAACTACTGCAACAGTTGTCACTGGTAAGATAAGCAGTAGATGCTCAGCAGTAGAGGCTAATACTCAGACCACACTACCCTTTCACGTTTAGTGGGAACTATGGTATACAGCGCTTGATAAACCGATGAATGAGGGGTGGGGCTCCCATGCAATAAAATGCTAATTAATTACTTAAAAATCATACAATGTGATTTTCTGGATTTTTGTTTTAGATTCCGTCTCTCACAGTTGAAGCCTATGATAAAAATTACAGACCTCTACATGCTTTGTAAGTAGGAAAACCTGCAAAATCAGCAGTGTATCAAATACTTGTTCTCCCTGTACTGTATACTTAAGTGAGATTAATCCTTATTGATTTACAATGAATCCTTTTTATAGAAAGCAGCCCTGCGTCTGTCTGCACAGTAACAGAAATGGATGTACTATGGGCAAAATACACAATGAAAAGGGTGTGAGTAGGAGATTGTAACTAAGGACACAACTGGATCAGTGTTACATAGCCCCATTCAAGGGAGGGCATAGATCCATTTCACATTCTGGTTGAGCCCATTTATTCAACACATTCAGTCAGGACACATATGACCCAGGTTTACTTCAATACTAGGTACCAGTCAGCCATATTGGATCAATAGTATATTAACACACTGTCTGTGTGGAGGGAAATATCTGACCAGCTTACCTCCCAAAGTCACAGAGTTTAAGGATTGCCGTTTCAGGGTCCACCAGCAGGTTCTGGGGTTTGATGTCTCGGTGGCAGACACCCTGGGAATGGATATAGGCCAAGCTGCGAAACAGCTGGTACATGTACACCTGAGATGAGACAAAATGGCCGACGTAGACCAATTAGAACCATAAACAAATCAATAAGACGGGGTCATTCTGTGACAATGCCAAGCCTTTCTGGGAGAGTAAAAAAAATAAACCCTGGATAGTTCATAATTGAATGACTTATACTAGACAATCAAAGTCCAATGAACAGATGCTGAGGCAAGCAAAAGTGGGACAACGAATGAGAGAAAGTGAAGGCGAGGGAGTTACCTTGATGTAAATTATAGGAATGATGCTTTTGGCCTTGTTGAAATGCCGGGCCACCCTGTACACAGTCTCCGGGACAAAGTCCAGCACCAGGTTGAGAAACACCTCATCCTTCTGTATAGGGCGAAGAGAACTGAAAATCACTATGACTCCACTAATCATATTTTACATTTACGTCATTTAGCAGACGCTCTTATCCAGAGCGACTTACAAATTGGTGCATTCACCATATGATAGCCAGTGGGACAACCACTTTACAATTATTATTATTTTATTTTTCTAATTTTTTTATTTGTAGAGTATATTTTTAATGTTCATTTGTTTTATATATAGTTTTTTTTATAGTTTTTTAATTTTGTAAATGTTTTATCGTTATTTTTGTTTATTATTATAACTCGATATGTCCTCTGAGATTATTCTTGTACAATGAAAAAAACTCTTTACAAATATAAAAAACTTGGTGGAAGAATGGCTCATATGAAGAGGAAACCGACAGTTCAGGTGCTCAGCATTTTCATTTCTGCGTTAAGGTGTGCCAAAAACAATGGATGGCAACCTACCTTTTCACCACTAGAGTAGAAGAAGTAGCGTAGCCTCACGATATTGCAGTGGTCCAACTTTCGCATGATCTGTAGCTCTCGGTTCTGCATAGGAAATGTATTAAACAAAGAACAGCTTTGGAATTGAACAGTGGGAAATGTCAAGGGTTTCTGATTGACCTGTAAGTGCATTGATCTTAACAATGCGCGTGATACGCGTTCGTTCAAGTGCACATTTCCGTCACCTAAAAACATAGGCCACAATACCAATTTCCTCCCACAAAGTAATTTGGAAATGTTCCTTGTAAAATTACAAAGGTGTGTCCTGTATTCAGAAAAACAAGCAGGCTACTCATAACATTAGTGGGAATTTACGAGACCAATCAAAAAATTGATTTATCATCATTATTATGATAGTCTCATGATGTAAAGGATAAGACAATTTAGTGTTGTCACAATACAGTTTCATGAAACTACATTTTCTATTGCAAAAACCTCCAAAGCAAACTCAGAGTTATGGTCCATTAAAAAACTGCTTTATATAAATTATGTGCTATACAGTGGCTTGTGAAAGTATTCACCACCCTTGGCATTTTTCCTATTTTGTTGCCTTACAACTTGGAATTAAAATGGATTTTTTGGGGGTTTGTATCATTTGATTTACACAACATGCCTACCACTTGAAGATGCAAGAAATAAGACAAAAAAACTGAAAAATTGAGTGAGCATAACTCTTCACCCCCTCAAAGTCAATACTTTGTAAAGCCACCTTTTGCAGCAACTACAGCTGCAAGTCTCTTGGGGTATCTATAAGCATGGCACATCTAGCCACTGGGATTTATGCCCATTCTTCAAGGCAAAACTGCTCCAGCTCCTTCAAGTTGGATGGGTTCCGCTGGTGTACAGCAATCTTTAAGTCATACCACAGATTCTTAATTGGATTTAGGTCTGGGCTTTGACTAGGACATTCCAATACATTTAAATGTTTCCCCTTAAACTACGAGTGTTTAGCAGTATGCTTAGGGTCTTTGTCCTGCTGGAAGGTGAACCTCCGTCCCAGTCTTAAATCTCTGGAAGACTGAAACAGGTTTCCCTCAAGAATTTCCCTGTATTTAGCGCCATCATTCCTTCAATTCTGACCAGTTTCCCAGTCCCCGCCGATGAAAAACATCCCCACAGCATGATGCTGCCACCACCATGCTTCACTGTGGGGATGGTGTTCTCGGGGTGATGCGGTGTTGGGTTAGCGCCTGACATAGTGTTTTCCTTGATGGCCAAAAAGTTCAATTTTAGTCTCATCTGACCAGAGTACCCTTCTTCCATATGTTTGGGGAGTCTCCCACATGCATTTTGGCGAACACCAAACGTGTTTGCTTATTTTTTTCTTTAAGCAATGGCTTTTTTCTGGCCACTCTTCCGTAAAGCCCAGCTCTACGGAGTGTACGGCTTAAAGTGGTCCTATGGACAAATACTCCAATCTCCGCTGTGGAGATTTGCAGCTCATTTTTAATAATGGATTTAATGGTGCTCCGTGGGATGTTCAAAGTTTCTGATATTTTTTTTTATAACCCAACCCTGATCTATACTTCTCCACAACTTTGTCCCTGACCTGTTTGGAGAGCTCCTTGGTCTTCATGGTGCCGCTTGCTTGGTGGTGCCCCTTGTTTAGTGGTGTTGCAGACTCTGGGGCCTTTCAGAACAGGTGTATATATACTGAGATCATGTGACAGATCATGTGACACTTGATTGCACACAGGTGGACTTTACTTAACTAATTATGTGACTTCTGAAGGTAATTGGTTTCACCAGATCTTATTTAGGGGCTTCATAGCAAAGGGGGTGAATACATATGCACACACCACTTTTCAGTTCTTTATTTTTTAGAATTTGTTTAAAAAATATATTTTTTTCATTTCACTTCACCAATTTTGACTATTTTGTGTATGTCCATTACATGAAATCCAATTAAAATCCATTTAAATTACAGGTTGTAATGCAACAAAATAGGAAAAACGCCAAGGGGGATGAATACTTTTACAAGGCACTGTAGCTTAGAAAATAAACAAATTTGACTCTGGGTGACAACAAGGATGGCCTCCATACCTTGAACCTCTTATCCTGCAGCACCTTCTTGATGGCCACCATCTCCTGGCTGTCGATGAGGCGCGCCTGGTACACCACACCGAAGGAGCCATTCCCGATCACCTTGATGTCCGTGTAGGACACCTCCTGTGGGCGGTCGGGACCCTGCCCAGATGTGGCCACCACCGTAGTCACTTTCCCACTGTCCCCTGGGAAACAAGGATAAGTCGTGTCAAATAAATAGTTGTCTTTTCAGATTTGAAATGGAGAGATTATTAGCGTTGTGTTCAGTAGGTACGAAACTGAAGAAAACAGCCCAAAACGGGGAGGTAGGCCTATTATCTGAACATTAAGAAAAGCTGTTTTACTACAGTGTGACATAATGAACATGGCCAAGGACATTGTTGCTAATATATGGTGCATTTCTACAGTTACTGTATCAGGAACCATGGTCTTTTGAATGAATGTATGCCTAATGTGGGTCACATTAATGACCTAGTCTAACATTGTGACGTAAACAACGGCTCAAGTGTATTGACGTTTTTGGCCTAGGTTGGTGTAGTGGTTAACATCACCGCCTTTATGCTCGTGACGGCACGCGTTGGAATGCAGGAGCCACCGCTACTTTATCACATACCCTCACTCACTTCCCTACTTCTACTTAGGGCATTAACAGCATTTAGGTCAAATGATAATAGGCCTTTACATAGCCAAAACAGGCAGCAGGCAGAGCAAACAATTGCTCAGCATAGAAAATAGCCCTACAGGGTCATGTTAAGTAAGGAGAAAACATTTTAAAACCAGTGAAAAAAGATCTAGACTTGTCCAATAAGAGTTTTGTTTGTCGTTGCAAAATGTGTTGCTCCAATGTCCTACTGAACACAATCCAGGGCTCGTGTTATTAACTACATTGGTTGTGTAACCACTACAGTAGCCGCCTGCCTTGTCGGAAGACGAGCCAAATACATGCTTTACTGTAAGATCCAATATCATTATTCCAGGGCTATTTTGTGCTCCTTTGAACATCATTTGACCTAAAGAACACAACTTGCGATCATCCAATAGGCCCATCATCGATCTCATCTATTACACTTGAAGTCAAACAAGTGTTTGGTGGCCTGGGTCAGAGTTCTCTAAGGCAGGCCTACTTCATATGAGGTTCATTCCCTGTATGATGACAGAACAGGGCCAGATGGCTGGAACTGAACTGGAGAAAACTGGCAAAATAAATGTACACATACATGTCACTCAATCATTTAATCTAAACTGCTTGTGAGCGTCTGTGTAGCCAGGAGCTAAAATAGAACGCTTGACGAGCTGCAAGTCCCGCCTCTCCCATCTCCTCATTGGTTTTTAGGAGCATATACCCACATGGGTGATTGAAAGATTAACTGAGGTCCACACTCCAGTCCAGTTGGTGGTGGTAATGCACCTTAAAGTTGGTTGCCAACCGACATATAAAGTCCACAGAAGGAGGACTACTACTGAAGGAGGAGAGATTACTAGAAACTATTAGTTTCCCCTTTTATCTGTGGATTAAATGTTGGAGTAGAGAATACACGATTTTGTGTGACTCATAATGGGTCAAAATTCTACAAAGATCCAGAAAGAAAAGGACCTTGTGCATTTCAGGTAAAATAACAACCCAATGTTTATATCCCAGGACAATTTAGCTAGCAACAGCAAGCTAGCTAGCTAAATGGCCATGAATGTTTCATGCGTTTCGACCTATCCCCAAATTAACATAGTTGGTTCAGAGTTCGTTTTGATATTTCAACCTGCGTGTCTTGATCGCGTCTGGTGTTGATGGACAAAATCAACATGCAGACGCACGTGCCCGGTCCAGACAGTATGTAACTCTGCTCATATCACACAGCCTCCCACAAACACACACATGATGAAACATGATACACAGTGTGCACCTGCAGAATGACAAGTGAGGGTGTGGAATTAATACACCTGGACGTGCAGAAATCGAGGGAGTTGTTTTTAAATAAATGAACTTGCTCCATAGATACCAGAGATCTGAGACACAATTTGTAAAATGCAATCCATGGCTAGGCTAGTAGCCCATCTTCTTGCTAGTGTCAAATCCAAACCACAGACATTATATAAATGACTTCACAGGTGTCAAGGTCCCACATGAAGCATTAACTACCTTGGAAAAAAAGCAGACCTGTTAACTTTTGGAATGTCCACTTCATTTCAACAGCTTTAGCATATCCTGCTGTCCACATCTTAGCGCAATGTTTCACAAAGATTGACTTATACCATGAGTTTTGAGCTCCAATTTTCATCATCAAACATAATACGGAATCGCTACAGATCCTTTTTTCCTTGGACTAAAGATCCTGAAGCTTCTGCGCATGCGTTTATTCTCTGCTCTATTTGTAGAAAACAGGCTACTCTGGCGAATGGTGGTTGTTTAATAAAGATAGATCGAAGCTGAATCAGTGTCCGCAAGATCACATAATGATAGTATTCTACAGAACTTAATATAATAGCATAGTATGACCAGTGCTTTACTTGGGCCGGAGCTGTCCGGAGCGCCGTACCGGCACCTCTAATTTTTGCGGAATTTTGGGGGAAACAAAGTAGCCTCTCGCCGGCCCAGGTTAACACAGTCAAAAAAGGTTTCGAGCGGGGGCATACATTTCCTGATTCCGCTTTGTTCATGTTTATTTGCCACTAGTCTGAATCTGTGCAGTAGGCAGTTCGAGATTCCGCAAATTGAAAAAGTGCCAGCCTGAATGCGCACGATGCGCTGCTCCAAGTTGTCAAATTAGGGTTTGTAAGGTCATGAAAAGTCATGGAAGTTTTTTTCATAATTTTAATGTAATGAAATGTAATTCATGAAGGCACACTTAAATATGATCAATAACTTAAAAATCTACATAATCAGCAATCATCGGAATGACCCTTCAGTAAGTGTCTGTGTGTGCTGCCTGTGTGCCAGTGGGCTGTTGCCCGAAAAGAGAGAGCGTGACATTTCAGCAGCAGGTATAAAATAATGACAGACTAACTAGATAGCAAATTCAAAACATAACTAGCGAGAAATGCTACAAGTTAACTATAGCTAACTAAGCATTAATGGTGTTGTCGCCTTTCCACCGGCAATAGCCTAAATACATCTGCAACGTTGGAAAGCTGGGATTCTCCTCTATTAAACAGTAGCCATGTAATTGCAACAACGTTAAAAATATTCTAAGAATAGCGTAATTGACAAAGAACTTGCTGTGCATAGATCTCACGTGAAACATTAATATTTTAGCCTTATATAAAACATGTCTAGTTAGATACCTTGCTTTGAAGTAGCCTACCTTATCCATTTGATCCCTGATTCAATGAATGTAGGAATACTTTTATAAAAACAAAAGTATTTGGTTGTAATGTTGCAATATTTTATATCAAGGGTGGGAAATATTGTAGCCTAAACAACAGCTGCTCAACAGGACCTTGATAAGCAGACTTGGGTGTTTCAGGGCCAGATCAAAAGCCAAGCCTGCATACCCAGGAGATCTCCAGATGGAGGGTTGACCACATGTTGACAACATGTGACTAACAGTGCAGTTCTACTTTGTGGGGGTTAAGTGCCTTGATCAAGGGCACATTTATGTAGGCTACTGACCTTGTCTGATGCTTTAAGCACTGTGATTAAAAATTAAGACACAAATCACTAAAGAGGGAGCCAGAGATCAATACAGCCTAACCAGAAGAAGAAAAAAAAAACAGTTCCCGACACTCCTCCTCCCACTGCTGCTGCTGGACTTAGCAGATTCTGCCAATCTGCAGTTACGCTCCTGAAGTTGCCGGTAATAGGCTACACCAGCGGTCTGCAACCTTTTCCATTTGGAGTGCCTAGTTATCGTACCATTTCTACTGATCTGCGTGCATGCCAGGTATGATTTTCAAATGCACATTGTCGTGGAACATTTCATTTATAATAAAGTCTTCATATCTCAAAATCAAATGTCATGAGGTTAATCAAAATTATACAAATCTAAAAGTAACTTCCATTGCCATTGCCAATATGTAAAAATAGCCTAAATAAAAACATTGCAGCCCGCAGGTAGAACATATCCTGATAAAAAGAAATATCATATAAATCACAATGGCTACGCATGGCCTGTCTGCAAGGAACTTGAAACATTTGATCAACTATTAACTGTGTCCGGCCCGAAGCTCGTGCTAGCAAACTTGCAACATTGTATAAAATATTCTGGGCCAGAGCATGAAATTATTTTCGGAAAGGGAGAGCGCTGGAAAGATTTTTCAAACAGGTTACATTGAGGAACTATTGTCATTCTCAATGGATGTAAAAACAGACTTAGTTTACTTGCTGTTTGAGGCAAAGAAAAAAAATACTTTGAGAAGCTCCACAGTGATGGTGAGTTAAGACAATCAGAAATAGTATCAGATCCCCAAATGGGCACATTTATAGGCATACATTTGCACGCAGGCCAGGTAGCCTAGGCCTACTTCTATACGTAATCAGGTGCGTGTCCTTACTCAAGACTGACAGGAGCCCTCCAAACAAAAGACAATGAATAAATTGACAACTCGTAAATGGAATGAAATAAACCAAAACTGTGTAGCCTAGGTTGTGTGCTCTGCAAACAACGTGTACACTCCTACAATGACAATGGTAACTGTAATAATATATTGAATGCATTAAGAGAAATTCCCGTAACCAAACAAACACTGTAGATTAGAAATGATGGGAATGAATGGTAGGCTAAATGTACTACTGGTGTGCCTCCGCAATGGATTAGTCCACTGAGACAGGCGTGAATCAGACAGTCTCGTGTGCCATACATTTTGTGTATATATTTGCCACTGCTCGACTAAATCTTAGTCGACCAACAGCCTATCGACCAATCGTCTAAATGGGGACAGCCCTACCTACCACTCAAGCGATTATCAGTGTTGCGACAATGGCTTGTGGCTATGAAGCACCTGTTGCCCCCGGATTCAGGGTTTGCAGTGCCCACTTCAAAGATTCTGATTATGTGTATTAAAACAGTTAAATGCCTCTGGGATGCTAATCGAAGTGAAGACCCATAAACTGAAGCCAAATGCAGTACACTCCATCTTCGACTTCTCGGCAACAAATACGAGACGGGTGCAAATTGAGGCATGCAATTCGGGGCGTTCCTGCATGTGGGCATTCTTGCATCTGCAGGAACCCCTATTTATACTTCAATTGGTCCATTTTTAAGCTAGGACAGGTGCGAGGCGGGGCGCTCCAGTACAGTAGGTAGCGTTAATGCACTAATGTCGGATGACAGCCGCCGATAAACCCCACAGAAGGGGCGGAGGCAACAATGGTAGCTAGCTAGCCGTACACCGGTAAACAGTGTCCTTCGTCCCCGCCTGTCGGGCACTGTTTTCCCGCAGTTCTG